TTGAAATTTTTTTTAAATGATGTAAATTTGTAACTTTGTTTGTCATATGATCTGTGGCGCCTGAATCAATTATCCAACAATCAATTTCAGTACTAGTTAATAGGGCAGTAGTAAAGGCTTTGAGTATACCTGATGCTTCTCCCTTTGGAACTTTCTCATTTCCAGCAAGAAATCCGGCAAATTGTCCCAACATAGCTGTGTGACTACCCTCTTCATTGCCTTGACCATGTGAGCCTCCTCCGTGCCCCTTACTTTGTAGGTAAGCTGCAAATTCATTGATCAATGACAATGGATTGGCAGTGAACTCCATGGATCCTTGTGAGATAGTAGGAGCGTGAGCATTAGCAAGTTGTGCCTTGAAATGAGGTTGAAATTGTTGTGAGGACCTTGGTATCATCCTTCCATCTTTGTTGAACTTAGGCTTGAGTTCAGGATGAAGTTCCCAACACTTGTCTTCCTCATGACCAACACCATTGCAATATTTGCATTTTAGATGTGTGTTTCTTCCCTTGTATACCTTGGCTTTCTGAGTTCTTGTACTTTGATGCATATGCCCGAGTCTCCGTTAATCTAGGATTGTGATCAACATTCATAACCTTCTTCCTTGCTTCTTCTCGTTAGATAGTTGCACAAACATTGTTGAAGGTAGGCAGGTCTTGACTCATCAAGATGTGACTCCTTAGGTCCTCGTACTCAGAGCTCAAACTCCCTAACAGCTGATAAATTTTGTCTTCCTCAGCTCGTTTTAGGAGAATGGTAGGATCTGTGGTATGAGGGAGATATACATCCAACTCATTCCACATGGCTTTGAGGCTCCCAAGGTGTTGAACAAATGCTTTCCCTTCTTGTTGAGCACTGGCAATGTCCTTCTTTAATTGGAAGACCCGTGCATAGTTGTTTTGATTTCCATACATATCCTGCAAAGCTTTCCAAAGATCATGTGCGGAATTGGAGTAGCTAAAAATTTCAGCAACATGTTTCTCCATGGTGTTGAGCAGCAAGGACATGACAAGTTGATCTTTGCAGAGCCATGCATTGTATGTAGAGGAAGAACTGTCTGGAGCTTCCACGCTTCCATTTACAAACCCTAACTTCCCTTTGCCTCCGAGAGCTAGTGAAACAGCTCGGGACCAAGGAAGATAATTGAACTCGTTCAAGAGAACTGAACACAAACGTTGATTGGTGTTAACCTCAACGTCTGAGAAGTTTGGAGAGAGATTGTGCCGGGTTTCCTCTTCATGGTTCACAGAACTTTCTTCAGTCATGACTTAGACTTTGAAAGAAAGAAAAAATTGCAGCAGCAAGAATGGCAGAGACAGGTTACAAATGAACCTGCTCTGATACCATGTAGAATTTTTGATGTGTATTTCATGAAGAAACAATTACAAATGAAACATATATATAGGAAAAGAAAGTAGACATAAGCCTAACTTGCCTAACTTGCCTAACTTGCCTAATTTCCTAACTTGCCTAACTTGCCTAATTTACACAAAGAATGTTGACTAGCCTAACTTCACTAGTCATCCAACATGTTTATTTCATGCATACATTTTAACACAAGATATGACTTGCATGCATTCTTCCAACAATTATTATTTCTCATCAAATATTAGAAAACTATTTAATTGTGATCCTACGGATAAACCAAGATAGAAATACCAGTAGGGTTTAGTGATCGAGAAGAGAGCTAGCCTGGTCAGAGGAGCGTGCCATAATTGGGCGAGAGTGGGGGGCCTTGGAGCAGGCTGTGAAGTGAAGCATGCATGTTGAGCAACTGCCATTTAACCTAATTATTTCCAGCCTGCACTGTAAAAAGTTACAGAAAACTAGGTGGGGACAAAAGTAAGATACAAGGCATACTTTCTGTTGAACGTGAGTCGTGAATGATATATTGCTAAATTTAACGACTAAACTACGTAATCAGTTTATGATCGTTAAATTTATGTCTATATAAGTACGAAGTACCACAACATGTACGCATTGATTTTAATTCTACCGTCCTAAAATCAATATACATGCATATGGATGGAGTGGTAGTGAGAAAGTTATGGGTCGTCTCATTTATTTTGACAGCGATTGTTGGTTCGGAAGCTGGCGGCGGTAAGTTGGAAAATGGCACCGCGAATAGTACTCATCACGAGCAAGGCAATGCTGGTTCTTCTTTTTTAGCTGTTGCTGAAATTCCTTCAGCAGGAATTGGAGAAGTAAGGAACAAGACTACTTCCTACACCACTGAATTTATATCAATAACAAAAAGAAGCAGCCTAATTGGATGTCTAGAGGAAGAGGAGGAGGAGGAGGAGGGGGAGGCGGCGGTGGAGGTGGTAATGAGGGTGGCGGTGGAGGCGGAGGAGGCTATGCATGGGGTTGGGGTGGTGGCGGAGGAGGAGATGGAGTTGGAAAAAGAGTAGGAGCTGGTGGAGGTGGTGGTGGGTGGGGATGGGGAGGAGGAGGAGGAGGGGCAGGGTGGTGGAAATGGGGTTGTGGTGGTGGAAAAGGAAAAGGTCGAGGAGGAAGAGGCCGCAGAAACAGTAACCATGTCTACGGCGGCCCGAAGAGAAGGTTCGATGAGGAAGAGTACGTGCTCGGAGAGTTTGCACAATGCATGCGGAAGGGACGATGCAAAGGCATGAGATTGGATTGTCCTCTTCACTGCGGAGGGCCTTGCTTCTACGACTGCCAACACATGTGCAAGGCTCACTGCCGACGACGTCGTACTTGATCATCCTTGGCAAATGCATTACTCTTGCTAATGTTTGATGTTTCCTGATTAATTAAGACGCCATTGATTTCTAAAAGTCACATTAATCCGAAGCACATATTCCCGAATTAGTCGATTGATATCTATCTGTTGTTTTTGTTGTTTGTGCTTCATTCGTCTTTCTTTTTCCGCTCATCCTTCTTCTTTCTTTCTTTTTTTTTTTTTTTTTTTTGGCGGTGTTCAATTTTGTGTGTGCTATGTATGCTTTGCATGCATCCATGCAATGTAATACGCGACGCAGTGTATCTCCAAATCTCTATATTTAGTCTTGACGTATCGCATTTAATAAAATCTTAACCCTTTGATGAATCCAAAAGAATATAACTATTCCAAATCAGCATAATCATACTAAATTGAAAATTCACCTTTCGTACCATATCACTTGCCTCTTCCCATCAATATTCAAAAACCCTAATGATTCAATTTTTCCTTTCACATCCCCACGACCAATCACACTTTACAAATGTTCATCCCAGATTTGCCATGGCTGCTGATATATATCTCCAACAGTCCAACGAGTCAACTCCAACCCCAACTCCTCCTCCCTCATTTCTCGTCCCTCTCACCCACACTGGCCTCTTCTGATCCCAAATCCTTAATTTTAAATCCCGACATCTTTTAGTCTTTGAACTTAATAATGTGCATCATTATTCGTTTTCACCAACAATGTCTTTTTTTTTCCCAAATAATGTGTAGAATGTCTAATATATATATAAATGATCTAGTTCAGTTGGGTTGCTCGCAGGAAAGAGAAATATGTGTAGAGATCTTCCCTTGCTTTTAGGAAGCATAAATTACCTCTAAAGTCCATTTAAGTGTACCTTAAGTAGATGATTAAATCAATTTTAGAGAGCAATTATTTAACCCTACAAGAAAGAGAGAAAGCTAGAGGATATTTGTTGCTCCTTCCCTAGCAATCTTCTTCACTTACCTATGTTGATTATTGACTCAAACATATAGTCAAAGTCCAAATCTTTGGGCTACTTTGTGGTAATGGGAGGCAAACAACATTTGTGCCTAATTTGTGCCTAATTTGTGCCTAACTCTTTTGACTTGATGGTAGGCCTTTGGCCATTGATGTCTTTGAGAAGCTTTTCTTTGGCTATAAAAGGAGAGCAAGGTGCAACTCATAAGCATGGAGTAGAGACAAGAGAAGAACAAGGAAGAGAGAAAAATAGCAAGAAGCCATTTGGCATAGAGAAGAATTTTCTCAAATTGTCTTGCTTTGTATTTTTTGGTTTTCTCTTCCTATTGTAAGTGTGAGAGCTTGGGGTTATTTGGGTCTTTGGGAAATTGAGTGATAAACACTATTGTATGTTCTCATTGATTATAGTGGAATACTCCGTCGTCTCCAAACTGGATGTAGGCATTGCCGAACCAGTATAAATCTTGGTGTTCTTGTTGGTGTTGGTTTTATTCTGTTCTGTTTTACTATTCACTTACAGTCGAATGCCACTTCCGCACAACAACCTATGCAAGGGACAGTCTTTCGTTGCTTTCTTCGTCTTCATGCAGCACCAAAATAAGAAAAAAAATTAATTTTTCTTCTCTTCTTAATTTTTTGGAGCTCGGAGCTTGAAAGTTGGCTCGACGCGGGTTGAGTATGTGTCAAAATTGTGGCCAGGAGGCCACGATGCATTAAAGTAGTTTGTGTACTGCATGCATTAAAGTAGTTTGCGTGGTTTTGGTTATTGCTGCCGCTAGGCATGAGTGGTTTTCTGTAGTTGCTGAGAATTATATTGTGAGCAGAATTCATACAGTACATACGGCGCATGTAGTCGGCAACACTGCATTTAGAAAGAGAAAGTTATATTTTCTTCACTGTTTATTCAAAACTTATATGTTGCATGTTCTGAGTTTTAAAGTGAGTCGGCATCAGAGTTCTTATTTGAGAAAAATCAGTTTTGTGTCCATGTGTTTTCAAAGAAAATATTTTAGTCTTTAATCACTGATTTTTCATTGTGTTTCAATTAGATATCAATTATGAGAATGTACCTTGTGATTTTTGTAATTGGTTGATTTCAAAAAATCATTACATTTCATACATTTTGCATGATCACATTAGTATCTTGCAAAGTTCGAGGAGATAGTGACTAACGGCCTTGTTAGTGTCGTGCCACTTCCACTCGAAGGCTGAAGAGAGATCGAGTAGCAAAACGCAATGAAAAAATTGCCTACTAGTGTGTGGGTCTAGTTGATTATTTTGTAAGTCTTTTTGTACTCATTTATCTCATTGTTTGTCCTGGCTTAAAAGTCTAAGGATTTTCTCAATGATGAGTTTTACCTTGTTAAATCCTAGTGTACACATGTTATTTGTCTTTTTATTGCAAATGTGTGGCATAATCTTTCATTTATTTTCTTGTAGTGAACTCTATCTTAAACATTCATCAACATATAGAGTTTACGACAAAGGACTTTGCTACCATATTATTCAGCGCATTGATTAATTTGTAAAGCGCTCATTTATCCTAATTATAAAATATAATCTGTACAAGACATTAAAAAAATGGAAGTGTCCTTCATCAGTTTGCAACCCGCTCGCGACGGTGTGGCATATTCTATTTGATGCACCCAATTTGACTTGATTTCTCTTTATACATATATCCATCTTCCTATTTTTTAGTATTTCATTTTAGTAAGTGATTTTAAATTTGAGAGGGTAGATTGTGAAACCCCACTCCTTGAATTATGTGTAATTTCATATTTTTTCCCAAAAACTTAATGAAATTTGCGTTTTAGTCCCTAATTCCCTTACCCAATCCGGATCTAAAAGTGGATTGCTCTTCCACTCACAACTTGCCACGTGGCAAGTTGTCAACTCCCATCTCCCTTTCTTCCTTCCCCCGACACCTCTCCTTTCCTTCTCTGCAATCACTCTCTTCTCTCTCAAATCTCACTCATCTGTCTCCCTCTCTATCTCCCGTGAGCCACACTCGAACTCACTCATCTGTCTCCCTTCACCATCCTCTTCCTCTCTCTCTCGTCGTTGCAAGGCACGACGGAGCCCAGGAAAACCCAGGCACCCCGAGGGCACCCAACCCAAAATCCGGCTACCTTCGGGCCTTTCACGACGTTGGGAAGGTAATCATTCTCTCTCTTTCTCTTGTACCTTCTTTTTCGTAGTAGATCGAAGAGTAGGTGGTGGTCCCTGTCGTCGACCGGAGCTGGGGAAGCTCCGGCGACCTCCATGCCAAGAAACCAGGCCCTCGGGCCTTTTCTCAAAACACCACGGACCTTAGGCCTTTTAAGCACCAACCCAACCCTTTTTAGTTTTATTTTTAATTAATTAATTTATTTCTTTATAAAAACAAAAGGCCCTTTGGGCCATTCCTTTTAAAAACCCAGGCCCGTGTGCCCGAAAGACCCAAGCCTTTAAAGGCTTAAGGCCTGCGGACCGTCTCCCTCTCCCCTTAGGCCTTCGGCCTCGGGGCCGGGCCCTAAGCCCACTTTCCAAAACCCATTTCCTAAACCCACTAACCCAGCCCACCTAATTACCTAAACCCTACATTTCCCTAACCCAAAACCCTAAGCCCTAAGACCTAATTACCATAACCACATCATCTTTAGGAAAATCAATCTTGCAGTTGAATATATAAACCTTCGATATGGTGACATAGGAAACACTAGTTGGTGGGTTGATTGGTAGAAATGATTCCAAAAATTCAAGGACGAGAAATGAGTATTGAGCAACGATCAAAATGTGTTGTATTTTATCACAAAAGATCTTTGTCCAATTAAAAGTGCATTTTATCACAAAAAGATGAGCAATGATCAATAAAATTGTTATTTATAAAATAGACTTTTAGAGATAAGGTCTTGTAAAACATGATTTTTAGAGTATAACCTGGAAGGTTTTCAATGTCTAGAAAAGATCATTCATTTTAATGTACCATGACATGTCACTTATAATAAAACCACAATATTTACTATTATTTACAAGAATGTAATCATTATTGTCTATAATGTAACATGCACAATCAAAATTTGAAAAATGTAACGGTTAAATTAATAATACCCATAAAATAATCTCCATCTTCACTGTCTAAAAATTGCCATCTTTATTGTCTATGACCACCTACTTTTTGTTTTTTATTTTGTGTTATTTATTTATTTATTTTTTAATTTTAATTTTTATATTTATTCAAATTTGTATTGTGTGGAGAATGCACTAATTTATGTCTGATAGTTTCGGTACGATTAATTAAGTACGTTATATAGTTTAGGTTCGAAAGATATGGTACAGTCAATTTGTTACGATTTGTATTGTTTATGTTTTAGTTCATTAGGTCTGATAAATTAGGTATGTTATATAGTTTAGGTCTGATCAATTAGGTACGGTCAATTAGGTTGTGATTTCACATTCCATTTTCACTACATACAAAATTGTTCTTTTCACTTTCTAAGGATTCATTTTTAATTTATTGAATCCAAAATTATAAAAACAAAAAAAGAATGCATTGAAGAATATAGGTACACTATAATGTTCTACATACAAAATTGTTCATTTATGTACTGTCAATTAGGTCATATCCATTCGGTACGGTCGGTTAGGTACCATATACGGTAGGTCTGATCAATTCGGTATGGTCAATTAGGTTGTGATTTCACATTCTATTTTCTCTATTTGTATTTTTTTCTTCATTTATCTCTGGATTCACCGTCAATTTGGCATCTAAAAGCCCATTTTTCTTCTTCTTCCGAGTGCAACGAGATTTTTGGTTTCTAAGTTTTCTGGCTTTTTTTGTTTGATCATGGTTTCTGAGTTTTTTGGGTTCTTTGATTGGAATAACACATGGAGGTTTATGGTAATGTTATTGTTATAACAAACATGTTAATTATGGATATAGTTAATTAAGCATTCTTGAAAAATTAATTATATATTTGTTTCTCTAATTGGTTTTAAGAGAGTAATAAGGATAAATAGGGAAACTAAAATGCATTAAATTTATAAAAAAATGATTAAATGTGACATGGAATACTATAATCTGACATGGAGGACTATTTTTAATTTTTAATCTTACATACGGTATTATTAAAAAAACAACCTCATTTAAGAATTAAAATGAAGTTTTCTAAAAAAATCACAAGAAGTAATCTTTCTTTTTCTTTTCATCGCTGCCACTAGCGGCCGACCCATTTTATAATTCTTTGTAAATTTTTTTTGGAAGCAGATGGAAAGGACCTGATTACATATTTCCCCTGCTCACAGACATTTGCATTGCACCTTGCAAACACCAGTTTTTTTGTTTGAACATCGATCCACATCAATGGCTCTTGTGAGAACATCTCCAGGAACCTCCTCTGATTCCAACACTTTCGGAGTTATCGCTACGACGTGTTCTTGAGCTTCAGAGGAGAAACTCGCAAGACTTTTACCGACCACCTCTACACAGCCTTGAACAACGCAGGATTTCTTACGTTCCGAGACGACGACGAACTTGAGAGAGGAGAAGATATAAAGCCAGGACTGCAGAACGCGATCCAGCAGTCACGAACTTCTGTTGTCGTGTTTTCGAAAGATTACGCTTCATCCAGGTGGTGTCTTGATGAGCTTGTGCTGATCCTTGAACGCAAGAGGACCACCTCGGACCATGTTGTTTTACCAGTCTTCTACGATGTCGATCCATCCCACGTGAGGAAGCAGACAGGAAGTGTTGGAAAAGCATTTGCTAGAAGCCAGAAAAATCAGTCGTCGGAAAAGGTGGAGGGATGGAGGAAGGCACTTGCAGAGATTGCAGACCTAGCAGGCATGGTCTTAAAAAATCAAGCTGATGGGTAACTTTCATTATCTCCATTTCTCCTCTCTTTCTTTGGTCAATTTGATGTATGATCCGTAGTGACCTAGATTTTTATATATTTATTAATTCAATCTCAGCAGTGAATAATAATCCCAATTCAGGTCAACTTAAAGAAATCATACTCAACTCAACTTAAGGATTAGTCATTTTCCATGTTAATCTACTGGTTTCCAGTTGCTTAAATATTTTTGAAAGCTGGTGTGGAAAAAAGTTAGGATGTGATCTGTAATGTATTTGTCTATGGTTCGTATAAATTATGCGTTCTATTCCTTTTTTAGAAAAACTAATGAAAAAGACTAGAAAATTTTGAGCTATAACGATAAGGACAAAATAAAGGGTAAAGTGGATAGTATTAAGATTGACTTTTTAGAGTAAAAATGTGGTTTTTCCGTTAAAGTGAACAATACCGGGTGCTTTTTGTTAAAGTTCCTCCTTTTTTTTTTCAATTTAATTGTCAGCGGTCCTTTTTTTTTTCTTATTTAAACAAAGGCAATCAATATATGTTTTAATTATCTAATTTTCCCAATTCATTTTTCATTTTGTTTGCAAATTCGTAGGTATGAGTCAACGTTTATAAAAAACATTGTTAAAGTGATAGGAGACAAGTTAAGTCGCATGCCATTGAGTGTTGAACCAAAATTGATTGGAATTCAATCTCAAGCCGAACGCATCAATTTGTGGTTACAAGATGGATCAAGTCATGTTGGTATATTTGTTGTGTATGGCATGTCTGGAATAGGGAAGACAACCATTGCAAAACATGTTTACAATTCAAACTTTGGAAGCTTTCAAGGAAGTAGTTTCATTGAAAATATCAAAGAAACAGCAGATCGACCAAATGGCTTAGTTCAAATACAAATGCAACTTCTTTGTGATATTTTGAACGGCAGAGAAGTGAAAATACATAGTGTTAGTGAGGGAATAATTAAGATTGAAAGGGCCATAAGCACTAGAAGAGTTCTACTTGTTCTTGATGATGTTGACCAAATGGACCAATTCGATGCAATCCTAAGGATGAAGGATCAGTTTTATCTTGGAAGTAAGATACTAATAACAACTAGGCGTGAAAGGTTGCTAAAGGCAGATCAAGTTACAGAGGTGCACAGAGTTCGGACTTTGTATTACAATGAATCATTAAAGCTTTTCAGTTGGCATGCTTTTGGCCAGGACCATCCCATAGAAGAATACATGGAGCACTCAAAACAACTAGTGCAACATAGCAGCGGACTTCCCTTAGCTCTAAAAGTTTTGGGTTCTTCTTTATCAGGGGAAAGTATAGCTGTATGGGAAAGTGCATTGGAGAAGCTAAAAGTTATTCCTGATGGTGAAATCATGAGTAAACTAAGAATAAGCTATGAAAGTTTAAAAGATGACCATGACCAGAAATTATTCCTCCACATTGCTTGTTTCCTAATAGGAAGGAACAAAAGCTACATTGTTAGAATACTCGATGGATGTGATTTCTATACAATCATTGGCATTCAAAATCTCATTGATAGATGCTTGGTGACACTTGATAAATACGGCAAGGTGGAAATGCATGACATGATTCGTGCTATGGGAAGAGAAATTGTTCGCCAAGAATCAGAAGAGCCTGAGGAACGGAGTAGATTATGGCGCCATAAGGATTCTTTCCAAGTATTGAGGAAAAAGAATGTAAGAAACATGCCTTTTATGTCTATATATGTATTCCTTCTTGTGAAAATTATGCATACTAATGTCTTTTTTTTTCCTTTAGGGTACAAAAAAAATCCAAGGTCTTGTCCTGGATATGCGTAATCATCCTGCAAACAGTCCAATAAACACAAATGAGATAGTCTTGGAAACCAATGCATTTGCAAGGATGCGTAATTTACAACTACTCCATCTTAGTCATGTACGACTGGATGGATGTTATGCACTTTTCCCTACAGGATTAAGATGGTTGTGTTGGCTTGAATTTCCTTTGGATTCTATACCAATTGATTTTCCTTTGGAGAACGTAATTGTTCTTGAAATGCAATACAGTAGCTTGAGACAAGTATGCAAAGGAACAAAAGTATGTTACTCTATGCATTTCAATTCATTTTCCTTATTGTGTTAGTTTTTTATGGGGTGTGATATCCACACACCCTTTTTTACTTGTCTCACACCTTTTGGGTTTTCGACCGTCGGATTGGATGAATTGAAGAAGATCAACGGACAGAAATTAACAATGGGTGTGTGAGAAGTAAAAAGTGGTGTGTGGATAGCACACCCCTTTTTTATTTGTTGACCAACTCCGTGTGCTAAAATGAACTACTATGTTTTCTTTAATTCGATGACTAATTTCTTATGTTAGATACTTATTTCATTGTTCTTTTTTCTTTTATTTATTTTTCCTCTGTTTCCACAGTTTCTTCCATCGTTGAAGATCCTTGACGTCAGCCATTCTCATGGCCTTAGTGAAACCATTGACTTCTCACTTTTCCCCAATCTAGAGGAACTGATTCTTGTAGGTTGCACAAGCCTGAAGAATGTTCATGAATCCATTGGAAACTTGGAGAGACTCGTGTACTTGAATATGAAGGATTGCAAGAATCTTAGGAAGCTTCCAAAGAACATGTGCATGCTTAAATCACTTGAAACACTCATTTTATCTGATTGCTCAAATCTTGTTGAGTTTCCAGTAGAGATGATGAAGAACATGGAGTCTCTGAAAGTTCTTGAGACAGATGGAATTCTAATAGGTGAATTGAGGCCAGAAAGAAGTTCAACCATCTTGAGTTCTTTTCCATGCTCTTTAGTAGAGTTAAGTATGAAGAGGTGCAATCTTTCTGATGATGTCCTTCCTACGGATTTAAGTAATCTATCCTACTTGCGAAGACTACATTTAGATGAGAATCCAATTTGCAGTCTGCCAGTTTTCATCAAAGGTTTGAGGAGGATCGATGAACTCTCTTTCGAGGGTTGTGATAGGCTCGAATCGCTTGTGGGGTTGCCGGAATTACACCAAGGGCTAAGTATAGTCGGATGCATATCATTAAAAAAAATAACTTTTCATTCCCCTGAGCGGTTGTGTCCAATTTTTTTTTGTGACAACTGGAATCTTGTTGAGTGGGAGCGCTGTTACAAGTTAGAGCCTATTGATAGAGTTGATGTGGAAATGATCAAACTTTTGGGCTTGTGCAACTTGGAATCCATGCCAGCTGTTCGAATGAATTATCTACACTCATACAAGGATCGAAAAGAGGTCCCCGTCCAGGTACGCCTCTCTTTCTCTCTCACATGAGTCTTAAATATATAATGGGAAATAAATGACTGAGTAATGTTGTGATGACTGTGGCAAATACATAGGAACTGTGTCAACGTGGTATATTCAGAACGTTTTTTGTTGGGAATGAGGTTCCAGGCCAGTTCAGCTATATAAGTACCAAGTCCTCGATATCTTTTATTGTCCCTTTACTACATGCTAGTCACAGAATTCGAGGCTTGAACATCTTTGCTACCTATGCAAAGAAAAATTCAAATAATTATTCTACTATACCTATTATTGGTCCAATAATGATCAAAGTGAGAAACAAGAGTAAGGGTCTGAAGTGGATCTATAGCCCAGAGTTCCGTGGAATTCCAGGTGACGGAGAAGATATGATATGGTTGAGCCATTGTAAGATGGAGTAAAACAATATTACAATGTGGAGATGAAGTGGTGGTTTCGGTAATATCCGGACGACGTGACTTGTTTTGGGTAAAGGAGTTTGGTGTCCAGCTTGTGCAAGAGCACCAAGACAGGATGAGTACCCAACACAACAAATCAGATCCTAATTATGCATTTGTTATCGGTGGAGATTTGAAGATGTGGGAGTGCAGTTTGGGATTATACCTCATTGGCGGTTATGAAGGAGGAGATATTGACCGCATTGATATCCTCACCATGGACTCTGATGAAGAAGACACAAGTATGTTGTGTTGTTGTATTGCGTTGAATTATACTTCATCCAAACACTTCCAGGTGTGTCCGTATTCATTTCAAAAACGTTTCCAATAAATTTTATGTTATTTGTTTGTTTTTCAGACAAAGAAGGGCAAGAGGATGAACCTGATTACACAATTGCAAAGACGAGGGCTGCTAGCAATAACTGCAGCCTGAGAGGCTGGAAGGTGCGCCTCACAGCTGTCGGCTTCTTTTTCGCGCTGGCTCTAGTAGGTTGGCCCTCCCAAAAAAAGAAGCGACACTCGTCCACAAGCCCACCATGAGTTTGTAATTTGACTTGATATAGATATATCTTTGCATTCCTTGCTCTCAAGATGTTTTCTACCTTCAAAACTTCAGGTTCAGAGCTAAGCACTCTTAACCGCTTGAGATATAAAAGCCCCTTGCAACTAGATAACGAAGTCCAAATGTGTTCAACGCCATCAAATATAGCATAAAATACATCTGGCATTAGCGATACTAGCAGAGTAGCAGTAAATAAGTAAAACAAAAAAAATGCTTCTACACATGGTAAGGGAAGGACCTTGACATGGTAAGGAGGCTCTTCTGTCATTACCAAAGTTCAAATCTGTTGATACCTTATCTTGCAACTCTTAGAGGCTCTTCTGTCAACAATCTTCCTCTTCTAAGCATGCAACTTTTTAAAGAATAAAGGGCTTGTCTGTGCGAATAATCAAGTTCCAAGTCCACTATTGAAAATCATGTTCATCCATCCTACACATCCAAAGCAGCAAACTAACTAGGATACCAGGTTGGGAGGATACAATCATTAACAATTTCAAACGCTTTAAATGCAATCTGAATACATGGCAAGTAGGGGTAAACATGTGAACAGAAAAATCAATGAACATAATCAAATCGAATAAGTCAATTTTTGACACGCCCCGACCCTGATATTTCCCAAATACCAGGACCGACACGTGCTGGCCGACATCCGGGGGTGACGAAAGCCATTAATTGATACAAAAGCTAAGAATAAGAAATAAATAAGGGTTAGAAATTTAAAATACAAAGAATTTATAATTTAGGAACGTGCTCAGAGCATACAACTAAACCTAATCACTAAAAGGAATTAAGATAAAATTTAATGAATAAAGGAGTGAGTCCTACATTCGAGAGGATCCGAAGATGCTGCTGCGGAAGTGCCTTCACGCCGGGATTAGGTGCCTTGATTCTAAGTCCTGAATGGGGGCGCAAAACAAAAGGTGAGTGGACCAAGTTCATATATATATATATAATAATAATAATAATAATAATAATAATAATAATAATAATAATAATAATAATAAAACAGTTATCAATGTACTAACCCCCAAAGTTTATATAATGAAAACTACTAGCATAATAAGTGATGGATTTAATAAAAATCCTAGCATGCCAAATATATCTCAAAAGTCACATCGCGGAAATCAAAACAGTAAACGCATCATAAAACGTCTCGTAAACGCGATGTGCTGCTAGAAAGATCACTGAATAAATATAACTCCCGGCCCAATGCCTGCACCTCAGTCTCTGTGCCCGTAGCCAGAGATAACTCCCTCCCGGCCCAATGCCTGTCTCCGTGTCCCTCAGCCTTTCGCTAGGGATTATTTCTTCCGGCCCACATGCCAACACCAGATCCTCGCCCCAGGCGGCATAGTGTCTACTAGTTACGCACAAAATGTTACGCCTCTCGTAAATACCACTTCATAGTGTAGGTTACCGATCATCGTCTACACTATAAAGAGGGGTTCAAAAACATGTTCTAGCATCCTATCGTCATCTATCAGATAATCTACCAGTTCATGGTTTTTATAGAAAATACGAAATATTAAAATATAGCTCAATATAGACTAACAATTAATTCCTCACCAAAACACGAGACGATAATCAATATATTAAATCATCAGGCTTCACATAAATCCAATTGTAAATCCGTAGGCATGCTAATCATTTATGTAATTGAATTATTAAATCATGTAATTTTAGAAGGGGTCCACTCACAAATATTCCTTAGCAGAAGAGTCGCACGAATAAGGATTAAGAATTTCTCCACTAGCAACATTACCTAAGCACAAAATGGTAATAATTAAATAAAAGGATTTTCTAAAAGATTGAGCTTGAATTAAATAAAATAAAGGAATTGGGTTTGGATGGATTTAGGTTTTAAAGGGTTTTAGGAACCTAGGGTTTTTGGGTTAAAATGGTTTTAGGGTGGAAAAATGATGGTTTGGGCTTAAGCCCAAATACACCCACACTACAATTACACACACATGCACGGCATGCACATGCATGCATAGCATGCATATACACACACGCACACATGCACTAACTCACACACACACACACGGCCCGCAGGCCTTAAACCCAAAAAGGAAGACTGGGCTTTAAGCCCCAATTTAAAAGGACTAGGCCCTAAGGCCCTTAGGTGTTGGGTTTTAAAAAGAACATAACCAAAATTAAAAACTGAACGGGCCACGGTACTGGGCTGGCTTCAAAACGGGTTAGGCCCGTGGGGAAATTTGGGTGGCCTGAAGGCCTGGGTGTTTTCACGGAAGGGAAAGCCGGAGCTGTAGCTCCGGTAGGTGACGTCCTAGCAAACTAGGGTTCAAAACCAACATTAAAATGGAGAGGAGAACGAGAGGAGTAATTCTATACCATTGCTTCGTTGTTGAATGGACGTGTGTGACCGGAAAAAGCCCACGAAGGCCAGTGTTCGCCATAAAGTTTGGGGGTTCTTTTCTTCTGTGGTGGCTCCGCCTTAACATTGAGAAAACAACATAAATCACCACACAACCACCAACAACAAGAAGTTCTTTGAGGAAAATAGATCGAGGTCTCACCTAACCGAAAAATAAAAGGAAGTCGCAGGAGATTCGTTTCTCCGTTTGGGCCGACTTTAATGCAGCGGGGACAGGAAAATCAGGGCAATGATGGTGACTGGGCTGCTGGTCTTGTGCACAACTTGCAACGCAGGTTGTTTGGGTTGCTCACGGTGCAGCAGAAAAGAGAGATGAGAGGGTGTTGAGCGAGAGAGAGAGAAGGAGAAAGAGGGAAAGAGGAAAAGGAGAGGGTCACGGGGGATACAAAAATAAAAGGGATGGGCTCCTGGCTCACCAATTAAGAATTAAAAACCATTTTTAAATAAAAGGGGGGGATTTAACAATTTTGGCTAGATTGAAATGAAAAAAACAAGGAAATGCTTTGTGTATCGATTTGTTTATGAAGGAAATAAAACATGTGGTTACCTTTGTCTTCCTCTGCCATTTGTCTATCGATTTGTTTCCGAAAGTGGCTATTCTACAAGATACAACATGACATGTCTTAGTTAGACCAAGTAACCGGCACGAAAATGCTTTCTGAAGTAAGAATCTGAACTCAAGAGCTTTATGCCAGAGAGACTTAAGAAAAATAAAAAAAAAAACATAGAAAATGGGTAAGAATAAACATCGATCAGACAATAATTCTCGTATAAATCATTTTTCAACTTTAAAGTGTGGCTTAAAAAGAAGCTTTAAACAAGTAGCAATAATTTCATATTGAAAAATAAAACCTATTTCATGGATATTACAAGAGCCATTATTTTGAAAAACACACCTTTTGGTTTTTCACTGCTTGACTTTTAAGAAGATCTTCGTCCTTGTGACGATTCTGATTCTTTAAAATATCTCTGCGATGGATTCTGATTCTTTAAAATATCTCTGCGACGGAATAAACAAAACCAATCTAGGCCAAAATTGACTTATTCGATTTGATTATGTTCACTGATTTTTCTATTCACATTTTACCCCTACTTGCCATATAGTTTTCGGGGTGTTAGAGCATAGTTCTCTTTTCTTTACACGCAAGTTTCAATTTTATTTAACGTAAATTAAGAGACCATTTGATAATCATTTCGTTTTCAGTTTAAAAAATATAAAAAACTAAATGGAGTTTTCAAAATTTAGCCTAGAGTTTTTGCTTTTGATTTTCAATTTTAATTTTTTTTAAACAACTGAAAACTAAAAATAGTTACAAAAAGAAATTTTCAGTTTTTAATTTAAAAAAAAAAAGTAAAAACTGAAAACTCTAAACTGTAGACTAAAAATTCAAAAAGTGAAATCGAAATGGGCTCTCAACAAAATTGAAAAAAGACTGGGCTGATTTAGTGAATTCAAAGCAGAGCTTATTAACGCTACGAGGCCCAATGGATCCGTATAAATATTTTTTGTTATTTTTTTTTAACTAACGATATTATCTACGTGAACGTAACCTCACAATTGGTTAGCAATAATGTATTTCAAATTTGTTTTTGGAAAAAATCGAACATAAGACCTCTCAAATGAAGAGGAATACCACTAAGTGGCTCGGTATTTTATTTTATATTTTAAGGAAAAAGAAAGAAAGCAATGAACAGGTGTACATAAACTAAACACAAAAGGTAATGAAATGAAGAGGAGTGGGAGACTTAACGTTTAATTCAAGACAAAGAAAGGTAATCGCACCACGACGGCGGCGACGTGGCGGTCATTTAACAAAATAACAGACAAATCAACCTCCAGATCAAGTCTTGAAGCACAACTCTGAAAAATCGAGACTACCTACCGCTGAGCTCCTACCAACCGTTGATGGAGGCAATCAGGAAGCTCAGAGATCAGGTCGCCAAGCAACAGCAGTTACTCTCTCTCTCTTGTTTGATTCCGAATTTATATTTCTGTATGGATTTTGATATGAACATAACTGCGTTGATTGCGAGATACTGAGATTGCTTAATGAAATAATATTTATATAATTGTTCGAGTTGAATTGGATCGATTCGAGTAGAATTTCACTATTTCTGAGCTGTTTGGGGCTCTGTTGGAGTGCAATGTTGCTGAATTTCTGAAATTTTGAGCTAGGCGTTGCTAATTACTTATCGATTTTGGGAATTAATTGGATGCTTAATTTTTACATTTTCGGAAAACTTCAAGCGAAAATGGCATATAATTCAACGTTCTATGCTTCATTAATGCATAGGAGTTAGTCGAAGCTTTATCGAGTTTGCTTTTGATTATTTTGTGAACACCGTCAGGCTGTGTTCAAACAATTTTCTGGTGGCGTATATGGGGGATCGGATAATGTTGCCTCGGATGAAAATGAATTTCAACAGCATCAGAAACTCGAGAAGCTGTACATATCAACTCGTGCTGCCAAGGTTGCTACTGTTAGACAAATAGAAGTATTAGTTGATTGTAATCCTAATTATATTTGTATTCCTAATTTGTATCCCTAACTTGTAGGGTTAATACCTTGGTGTGCAAGGAATGTGATTGTATATATTGGTATTCACGTATTAATGAAAGATACTTTTCATCCACATATTCTTTTTCTACATGGTATACAGAGCAGGTTTTAAACCCTAGCTTTTTCAAATTTTTTTTTTGGCAGCCATCTCTGCCGTTTCTTTCTTTCACCATGGGAGACTCTTCTTCTGATGGTAACACTAACCCGTTTTATCTTCACCATTCCGACCATCCCAATCTTGTTCTTGTCTCCAAGAGGTTAAACGGAGATAACTACACGACCTGGGCACGCGGGATGCACATCTCCTTAAGCGCCAAGAATAAACTTGGTTTTATTACGAGAGACATTGAAGAACCTTCTGCTTCCAAGGACCCTGATGCTCATGCTTCCTGGAGGCGCTGCAACGATATGATCCTTTCCTGGATCCTTTCTTCCCTGGAGCCTGATCTTGCCGACTCGGTTCTTTTTTCCACTACTCCCAAGGCTGTTTGGGATGACCTGTGTGAGCGTTTCTCCCAAAGCAACGCTCCCCGTATCTTCCATCTGAATCGTGAAATTGCCACCATCTCCCAAGGGTCATCCTCTGTCTCTGCGTACTTCACTCGCCTGAAAGGGCTTTGGGACGAGCTCGCCTCCTATAATGATGCCTATTCTTGTTCTTGTGGCACCAAACATGATCGTCAGCACCTGATGCAATTTCTTATGGGTCTTAACGATTCGTTTGCCGCCGTCCGGGACCAAATTCTTTTGATGAACCCTTTGCCCACTGTCCGCCAGGCCTGTTCATCTGTTTCTCAGGCTGAAAAGCAGCGCGCCATAGGTTCTTCACGTCCTGCCGACCCCCCCCGCTGCCATGGTTGTACGGAGCTCTTCTCGATCTTCGTCCGACCGACCCCCTCTCCATTGCACCTATTGTGATTATGACTTCCACACCCGTGACACTTGCCATAAACTGCATGGGTATCCCGTTGGCCATCCCCTTCATGGTCAGCCGTGGAGACCACCTCACCGCCATTCGACTTCTACTGGTTCTGCGCGCAGCAGTGGATCTGCTTCTTCTGGCCGTAGCAGCGTCGCTGCCTCTTCTGCCCGCAGCACTAATGGTGCTTCTCGGTCCCCCTTAGGCCCCAGCGGCCCATCACAACCTGGTCCATCCGCCCATCATGTGAACAGTCAGCCCACTCTGCATGAATTGCAGGTTGCCATGCCTACTCTTTTTGCCGAGCAACATTCCCGCCTTCTTGCCGCTCTCAATGACACCTCGCCACCTCCTCCTCAGGCCCATGCCGTTACCAGTACTGATTTTGCCCAAGGTTTGTTACCCGTGGCTTCTTGTCATGGTCAATGGATCATTGACAGCGGCGCCACAAATCATATCACTTCTTCTGCTTCGTGTTTGGTTAATACTTCTACGTCGCACTTGCCACCCGTTTCTCTGCCTAGTGGTGCCACCGCTCCCATTACTTTAACTGGAACTATTCGTTTAAATTCCTCGATTGATTTGGACGATGTTTTATGTGTCCCTAACTTTAAAGTGGACCTTTTATCGGTTGGTAAGCTTACAGATGGTTTATCGTGTTCCATAACCTTTTTTCCTTCTTGGTGTGTTTTGCAGGACTTGGTTTCGAAGGCGACGATTGGTGTGGGTAAGCGACGTGGCGACCTTTATTACCTTGTGGCCCTTGCATCCTCTCTCCCCACCCGTCAACCTCTATGCAACATCATCACTATACCTTCTCCCTTATGGCATCGGCGTCTTGGTCACCTTTCTTCTCGCAGTCTGCAAGTTCTAGCATCTACTTTCCTTAATTGTCCCTTAGATTCTAGTCATGTTTGTGATGTTTGTCCTCTGGCCAAACAAACCCGTCAACCTTTTGGTTTAAGTTCAATTTCAACAACTTTTCCTTTTGCTTTAATTCATTGTGATATTTGGGGTTCGAATCGTCAATCTTCCCTTACTGGCGCTCATTATTTTTTGACTATTGTGGATGATTTTTCCCGCTTTACGTGGGTATTTCTCATGCAACATAAATATGATACTCAACCCATCATCAAACAATTTTTTGCATATGTTCAAACCCAATTTCATACAAAGGTTCAAAGCATTCGTACCGATAATGGCGGAGAATTTATTTCTCTTCGCAATTTTTTTTCTGATAATGGGGTTCTTTTTCAAACTTCATGTGTCTACACCCCCAACAAAATGGCGTTGTTGAATGCAAACATAGGCACCTTCTTGAAGCTCGCGCCCTTCGATTTCAATCCCATCTTCCACTCAAATTTTGGGGTGAATGTGTCCTTACCGCTGCCTATACCATCAATCGTCTCCCTACTCGACTTTTGCATAATAAATCTCCTTTTGAGGTCCTCCATACTAAACCCCCATCCTATGACCACTTCCGTGTCTTCGGTTGTCTCGCTTATGCCACTTCCATCAACCCTACCACTAAATTTTCCCCTCGGGCCCATCGATGCACCTTCATTGGTTATCCTCATGGTCAAAAAGCTTACAAATTATATGACTTAGAAACCCACCGCACCTTCACCAGTCGCGATGTAATTTTTCATGAAAACATTTTTCCTTTTGCTGCCACGCCCCCACCTACACCACCCATCACCCCTCCTCTGTCTTTTCCACCTTCCCAAGATATTTCTTACCCACCCTCTCCCCGACCCACGTGTCCTTTCTCTCATCCCTCACCTGCCACATCACCTATCCATCCGTCCCCTATTCCAGATACCACCTCTCCACCCCACCCCATTTCCATCTCACCTTTCCCGTCCCCCACTAATACCCTT